GGATGGGTGACCGCTTGGGAATAGCCGTATTTTTCTGACTAAAAAAGATAAGTGTTTTTGAATGTGTATGTGTGTGTGTGTTTAGCCGTTGGAAAAAATGAAAATAATAATAAAGATGTATATGTTAGTGTGAAAAATTGAAAAAAAGATGTGTATAAAAAGTGTTGTGTTAAAGGTGTGAGAATTAATTATAGTATATAAAAAACATGTGAACAAAAATTCCCTTTTTTCAATTTATCGTTGGTATATATTTAACCACATAAAAGAATTGAATTAACAGTATGGTGTTATTCAATTGATAGCAACAACTAAAAAAATTAAGAGTACAAATTTTTGAATCATAAAAATGATGCTTTTAAATTTAAAAGTTATAGTCATTGACTCAAAAGCATATACTGTTAAATTAAAAAATTTTGTTTATTGATTCAAAAGGATTCACCTTCGAATTAACATAGTATGCTGTCAATTTGAGAAATATGCTTTTGTTTCAAAGAAAGTGATACTATCGAATCATTAGAATCGGTGCTTTCAAAACAACAGCATATACGTTAGGCAGCCCGTTATGACACTATTCAATGAATCAAACCCATATGTCATTGATTCAACAGCATTTTTTTCTCCGTGTAGTAGTAAAAACTATTGTTAAAAATAGTTAATTTTACTATTGTGGTAGCAAAAATAACTATTTTGTATTAGTTGCAAACAAAATGAGACTTACTGTTTTTATATAGTAAATACAACCTCTGAAAGTTGTTACTTTTATGATTTATGTAGTTAAAACAACTATTTCTTACTAGTTGCAGAGAAAGAAAGAAATTTACTGTTTTCATATAGTAAAATCAATTGTTGAAAACAGTTATTTTTACTATTTATGCAGTTGAAAGATCATTTTTTTCTACAGAGAAAAAACGTGAGTGGTAAAAGCATCCACATATGTGCAGTTAAAAAAATATAGTTAAAACTACCATATTCAGCAGCATTTTAACTAAACTTCCATAGTTAGTGGAACTAAAATTGAATAGTAGGTTTTATGTAGTTAAAATTACTACTACACATTATTAATTAAAAATAGTTATTTTCGGAATTTCTGTAGTAGAAATATCAATTTCTTGCTATTTGCAAAATAAATTAAAATTTACTGTTCCAAAGAGTAAAAACAACCGCTGGAATTTGTTATTTTTGTTACTAGCTTTTAATAATTTATCTCTATGGTGGTAAGAAACATTTATTTTTATAACTACAAAAGTCATAAAAGTAACAATTTCTATGTTATTTTTACTATATGAAAATAGTAAGTTTAATTTTTTTATAACTAGTAAAAAGTGGATAATTTTACTACAGAAATTCTGAAAATAACTATTTTCAACAGTACTTTTAACTACTGCACTATCGTTGAGTCATTTAAAATCATATGCTGGATACAATTCAACTAAGTCCTTGAGCTTAAAAAATTAGTTACTGCAACTAAACGGAGTAGTTATTATGACTGAATCTAAGAAGAATATCCTCAAGTACAATGCCAGTCATCGTAGCGTGCGAGCGTGGTTAGGTGGTTAGGTTATCGGTTTGCGAATGTTAGGGTCGTGCGTTCAATCCCCGGCGTTTGGGTATTTTTCTCTGTTAGGTGTATAAGAATTTAATATATAAATTATATATGAACAAAAATAGGTAAGAGAAAATGTAAAAAAATGGACCTCAATAATAATAAAAAACAAATAAATAATTTCATTTTACTACTTTAAATAGTTAATTTAACTATTTTTTACAGTTGTTACAACTACAATTTGTTACGGGCGCCTATAGGAACTATGAAAATTTAGTTACTGCAACTAAATGAAGCAGTTAGTATGACTAACAACAAATAGTTAAGATAACTGTTTTAGTAGTTAAATTTACTGTAAAAATGGTATTTATTACTACATTTTACTGTTAGACTAACTATTCTGTCATAGTTCATTTTACTAAATAATGTTACGGGCGCCTATAGGAACTACAGGAAATAGTAAAAAAGTAGTCAAATTTACCATATTTTTTTTTGTGTGTGGGCTAAGACTAAATGTAACTTTGTTTTTAAAAAGGTCAAAAATTTCTTATAAAAAAATAAGCATATTTTCAAAACCGCGTGCTTGTTTAGAAATATGAACAGTAACGTTGCAGAGAATAATTTTTTGAAAAAATAAGCTATATTACAGTTAAATTGATTTTAAATGTAATTAAAATAACACAGGCACACAAAAAAAAAAAAGTGTCGTGGCCGAGACACTACAGTAGTATATTCCCATGTATTTTTGGCCGCTGAATCCGAATCTGAAGTCCGAATGCTCAAATTGGTTCTTTTTTATGAGTTATACTCAAAAAACGACTCAAAACACGAATTTGAACCAAAAAAATTAAAAATTTTTTTTGTGACATGACAATAGCATATTTCCATGTATTTTTTCCCGCTGAATCCGGATTCGAAGTCAGAATTGACAGATGTGCTCAAAATTATGAGCTACACTCAAAAAACGACTCAAAAAACCGAATTAAAATGACGAAAATGAAAAATTTTTTCTGTGACACTGCAAAAGTATATTCCTATGTATTTTTTCACGCTGAATCCGAATTCGAAGTCAAAATAGACAGATTTGCTCAAAATTTTGAGATAAACTCAAAAAACCACTCAAAAAAAGACTCAAAAAACCGAATTAAGATGAAAAAATTTTTTTATGACACTACACTACTATATTCCCATGTACTTTTTCCCGCTGAATCCGAATTCGCAGTCAGAATTGACAGATTTGCTCAAAATTTTGAGATAAGCTCAAAGAACTGATAAAAAAGCGATTTAAAATAAAGAAATGGAAATTTTTTGCTATGACACTACATTACAGTACAGTAGAACCTCGATTATCCGAGGTAATGTGGGGAAGAGGTACCTCGGATAATCGAAAACTCGGATAACACGGAAACAATGAAAATTTCAAAATTTTAAATTATTTTTTATGTGTTTAAAGTGTTAGAATAATATTAAATGACAAAAATGGACGAAATTTTAAATGCAATGATCACAAATAGTGGTTTTGTAAAATTTATTTTCCAAATTTAGTCGCTCGATTCGTTTTATCCGAGTTATTCCGCATTATCCGAGCATGTTTTGTGCCTCGGATAATCCGGAATCTCGGATAATCGAGGCTCGAATAACCGAGGTTCTACTGTATTTCCATATCGGATCTCGCATTTGAAGTCAGAATTGACAGATTTCTGACTGATTTGCTTAAAATTTTGAGATATACTCAAAAAACTGATAAAAATGTAATTTAATATGAATAAAGGAAATTTTTTGCTATGACACTACAAGTGGCTCAAAATTTTGGATTTCATTAAAAGTGCTCAAAAACATGCATGCTTGTACCTGTAACCAGGGTTTGAGTTCTAAAAAATTTTATGTTATTCTGATAATTCTAACATCGAGTTTGTATTCAGCGTATATAAAAATCATGGCAATACACTACAGAATACCAAAAAAATGAACTCTTTTGCATTAAATTAAATTTTGAGCATTTTTGGATTTAACTTAAAATTTTGAGCCAATTTAATAATTTTAACTTTGAATTTAGAAGAAGATGTAAAAACATGAGAATATACTAATGTAGTGTACTAGCAAGAAAAGTAGAGTTTCTTGACTTTAATTTTTGTAACTTAACAGATTTTCTTGTGTGTCTCAAAATTTTGAGCCATTAGAATGGAAATACTGGAAATACTGTAATGTAGAAATACTGTAATGTAGTGTCATAGCAAAAAATTTCCATTTCTTTATTTTAAATCGCTTTTTTTATCAGTTCTTTGAGCTTATCTCAAAATTTTGACCAAATCTGTCAATTCTGACTGCGAATTCGGATTCAGCGGAAAAAAGTACATGGGAATATAGTAGTGTAGTGTCATAAAAAATTCTTTCATCTTAATTCGGTTTCTTGAGTCTTTTTTTGAGTGGTTTTTTGAGTTTATCTCAATATTTTAAGCAAATCTGTCAATTTTGACTTCGAATTCGGATTCAGCATGAAAAAATACATAGGAATATACTTTTGCAGTGTCACAGAAAAAATTTTTCATTTTCGTCATTTTAATTCGGTTTTTTGAGTCGTTTTTTGAGTGTAGCTCATAATTTTGAGCACATCTGTCAATTCTGACTTCGAATCCGGATTCAGCGGGAAAAAATACATGGAAATATGCTATTGTCATGTCACAAAAAAAATTTTTAATTTTTTTGGTTCAAATTCGTGTTTTGAGTCGTTTTTTGAGTATAACTCATAAAAAAGAACCAATTTGAGCATTCGGACTTCAGATTCGGATTCAGCGGCCAAAAATACATGGGAATATACTACTGTAGTGTCTCGGCCACGACACTTTTTTTTTTTTGTGTGCCTGTGTAATTAATTAAATAATTTAATTAATTACCATTCTTAAAAATTTCTATAGAAACGATATGACAACAAAAGTAGATCATGTGTTAATTGTACAAAAAGAAATAAATATTTTGATTGTCAATTTCTTTCTCGAGAATTGATATTGCTGTTAATCTAAATAATATTAATAATAGGTAATATTTAAATTATTTATTTTATTATTAAATAAATTTTATTTATTTGTTACAAAGAAATAAATATAAATAATAAATCTTATAATTTAAAAATAAATTCAATTTCCGATTGCACTTACTTAGTTCAAAATCCTAGTTTATTTTACTTCGCCAGTTTCTAATTTAGCAAATTTTTATTTTCCAACGGGCGAAATAAACTATTTCTCTTATTTCGCCCGACATTGTGTACTATTATAACGGGCGAAATAAAAAATTTTTCTTATTCCGCCCGACATCGGGCGAAATAGCCACTTCGTTTTATTATAGCTGAAATGTTGAAAAGAGAGAAACAAAATAAATTCCTTCGTAAAAATATTTGGTGGCCCTGAAAAGGGCCGATTGATATAGACGAGCAGCGAAAATGTCTTTGAAGTAACATTATCTACTGCTTTGCAACTTTCTTAACCGCAGTCTTCCTGGGCTTCGGAGAAGCTTTCTTGGTAGCTGCAGGTGCCTTGGATTTCTTGGGAGAAGCCTTCGTAACTTTGGGTTTGGCAGCGGTAGATTTGGCCTTTGGCGGTTTGGCCGCGACCTTTGCTGGCTTCTTCTTCTCGGCTACTGCTGGTTTCTTAGCCTTTGGTGCTTTCGGCTTAGCTTTTCCCTCAGACTTGGCGACGTTCAATTTGAAGGAGCCCGCAGCACCTGTTCCCTTCGTTTGAATCAGGGTCTTGTTGGCGACGGCCGCTTTCAGGTACTTCCTGATGAAAGTAGCTTGCCTCTCAACGTCGACTACGTACTTGCCGGCAATGAACTTCTTGATGGCTTGCAGAGACGAACCTCCCTTCTCGTTCAAATGAGTGATGGCTGCAACGACCATCTCTGATGCTGGCGGATGAGCGGCCTTCACACGAGGCTGTTTCGACTTTGCAGCTCCCTCGGAAGGTGCAACTGCAGGCGCAACAGTGGATTCTGCTTTCTCTGCCATTTTAAAATTGAATTTCTAGTTTATATTCAAAATTGAAGACTAACTTTAGGATGCACTCGATGCAACTAGTCAGGCTGTAATGAAAAAATTTCCAGGTTCGCGGCGACATAGTAAAAGGCACGAACGGTGAAGAAAGGCCCACATTGCAAATGAACGTCGATTTCTCTGAACTTGGGCAAACTTGGAACTATATTTCAAATTTTTAACAGACAAATAATAATTTGTTTATAAACTTTTAAATCACTAAAATAATGGTTGATAACTGTAATAAGTTTCAGATGTAATTGATTAATTTTTTTTGATTTATAGAAAGTGGATGAGTAAATAAACATATTTTTCAAAATTTTGAACATTATACTTTGTGACACTGTCATTAGTAAAGATTGATATAATTATACGCAGGGTTGCTACGATTTTCGTTCAATAAAATTCCATAACTTTTCCAGGTTTTCCAGGGCTCATATTTTTTACTTGTTTTATTTCTTTATTTCAATTTATGTACTTTATTCTATTTAGCGATATGATGATGTTGGTGAACCAGTCCATTGTAATGTAAAAAAACAATGAAATATTTTTTTTCATTCATTTCTTTTTTCCATAATCGAATAGAAATTATTATTAAAATACTAAGTAAATAAAAATTTCTATGAAAACAGTGAAATGATACTTTTTTGTGTAAAACGAAATTGTAAATTTAATAAAAACACACACAGAAAATGTATACTTGTCTCACAGCCAAATATAAATTTATTTGTTCCGAATAAAATGTCCACACATTACAATGACAATTTCATCAAGAAATTCAAACCTTTTTTACTTTTTGATATACCGTAAACTGGAGCTATTAGGAGCACATTGAAGGGTTAAATAATTGTCTTGATCAAAGCTGGAATTTTAAGAAAAAAAGACGCATTTTTTCGAACTTACAAAATGGGGCTCAAAAGTAAACACAGAATATAAAACAAATGTAGAAACAAAGTTAGAAGAGCGAATGTGTGTTTTAAACGTTGCTGGTATCATCAGTTGAGGTCGATGATGGAATCACTGGTCGTTTTTTGCGACTAGTCTTTTCGAACTATCTTTGAACACTAAAAACTGAGTAAAAACCAAATAAGGTGATAAAAAACAAAATAAATTACGAAAAACTTACGTTTTGACAATACACTTTAACAATTCGGAAGAAATAATTGTGTTCCTTATATATACCCGCCGTTTGTGAATTTTGGTTTTTGTTTCTAAAATCTTACTGTAAATAAAAAAAAACATATTTATTACTTAGTGAACTCAATAAAGTTTCCCATAAGAAATCCCATTAATAAAAAACAATATATTTGAGAAGTTAAAAATAAATCAACTTACCTCAGCAATCAAATATTTTCCACGTTTGAAACTTCACTAAAACACATTTAGTCACTTACAAGCTACTATTGTTCACAAAATAATTAATAGTCACAATTATTGCATTGAAAAGTATTGCTAGTTACCGCAGCAACAATTTTTCAAAAGCAAGTATCACAATTTATCAATAAACGGCGCTGATAGCATCAACTCCACCCGAAAACAGAATTTTGTTCCTAATAGCCCCAGTTTACAGGTAGGTAAACCTACAAGTACCACTTTCACAAAAAAATTTTTTTTTTATACCAGAATTAAGAACTAATTTAGTGCTAATTTAGTACCATATTTAAAAATTTAGAGCTGCTAAACTTTTTAAAAAAACGTATGGTACTGCCAGCTTGACGTATAGCTACAAGTACCATACCCTAAAAAATAACAATTTTTAAAAAACTTTTCCACAGGAATTTAGAACTAATTTAGTGCTCTAACATAGCATTAAAAAGAATTTTCCAAAAACTACCCTTAATCTCAAAAACTACCTAACGAAAAAAAAATATTTTTTCAAAATTTTTTTCACAAAAATTTAGAACTAATTTAGTGCTCTCACATAGAATTAAAAGGATTATTTTATAAAAACTACCCTTAACCTCAAAAACTACCTAATAAAAATTAAGAAACAAATTTAAAAAAAAAAATTTTCGATAGAATTTTAAAGCTAATAAAGTTTTCAAACTTAGTACTGAAAGATGTTTTCCAAAAACTAATTTTAACCTGAGCTAATTTAGTGCTCAAACAATGCACAAGAAAAATTTTCCACAAAACTACCTTTTACCTCAAAAACTACAAGAAAACAAAGACATAATTATTTCTTAAAAATTTTTTCAGAGCAATTTAGAGATAATTTTGTGCTCAAGAATAGAAATTAAAAGTAATTCACAAAAACTACCTTTTACCTCAAAAACTATCTACAGGAATTTAAAAGGCACATATTTTCAAAATTCTATTTATAGGATTTTAGAACCAAATTAGTGCTCTAATATAGCATTAAAAAGAATTTTCCAAAAACTACCCTTAATCTCAAAACTACCTAACGAAAAAAAAATATTTTTTCAAAATTTTTTTCACAGAAATTTAGAACTAATTTAGTGCTCCCACATAGAATTAAAAGGAGTATTTTACAAAAACTACCCTTAACCTCAAAAACTACCTAGCAAACATAAAAATGTATATTTTTTCAAAACTTTTTTCAATTGAATTTAGAGCTAATTTAGTGCTCTAACAGAGCATTAAAAAGAATTTTCTAAAAAATACTCCTAACCTAAAAAAGTAGACAAAGGAAATAAAAAGGCATTTTTTAAAATTCTTTTTTCACAACAATTTAGAACTAATTAAGTGCTAATTTACTACCATATATAAAAATTTAGAGCTGTTAAACTTCTTAAGGAAATGTATAGTACTACATATGCTTGACGTATAGCTCCAAGTACCATACCCTAAAAAATAACAATTTTTAAAAAACTTTTCCACAGGAATTTAGAACTAATTTAGTGCTTATCTAGTACGATATATAAAAAATTAGAGCTGTTAAATTTTTTAAGAAAACGTATGGTACTACATATGCTTGACGTATAGCTACAAGTACCATACCTTAAAAAATAACAATTTTTAAAAAACTTTTCCACAGGAATTTAGAACTAATTTAGTGCTAATTTAGTACCATATATAGAAAATTTGAACTGTTAAATTTTTTAAGAAAACGTATGGTACACTAAAAAGTAAGAATTTTTAAAAATCTTTTTCACAGGAATAGAGAATTAATTTAGTGCTTTAACATATCATTAAGAAGAATTTTCCAAAAAACTATCCTCAACCTCTTAAACTACCTAACACAAATAAAAAGGCATATTTTTCAAAAACTTTTTCCATAGGAAAAATATTTTTTGCAACACTAACCTGTAAAATTGAATTTTACACACTGAAAACAGTGTGTAAAGTGATTTTCAGTGCGTAAAATGATTACTTTACGCATTCTAGTGTCAGTAAATTTTTGTTTCGAAAATTCTCAATAATCAAATAAACGAAATATTATTTCAATATAAATATTTTTAAAAATTCTGAAGTGTAGTAAAAGTTATAAACGTTAGTTAAATATGTAGAAAAGCAAAAATTATTTTTTAATACAGAACATAATATTACACAATCTAAATATGAATTAGAAATTTCTATACTAAGTAGAAAAAAATGGAAACGTTTACTAATTCGAGACGCATGCTTATTCCCGAAATCTTTTTTGACCAAATAGTTATTTGATATAAAACTAGTTTACTTAAAATTCACATAATATGCACATTATTTGACATAAATTTCATTGCACACAAAAACCATTTAACATAAATATCATTTGTCATAGAATTCATTAAACAGAAATATTATGTTACATAAAACTCAGGTAACTTAATTCGCATTTGACATAAAAATTATGTAATACATAAATTTCTATTGACATAAAAATCATTTAACATATATTTCTTTTGACATAAAATTCATTTAACGTAAATTTTATTTGTTATAAAATTCATTTGACATCAATTTCATTTGGCATAAATGTCATTTAACGTAATTCTCATTTGACATAAATATCATTAGACATAAAATTAGCTTGACATAAATTTCATTTGACGTGAATATCATTTAACATAATTATTATTTAACGTAAAATTAAATTTATATAAATTTCATTTAGCATAAATTTCATTTAACATAATTCTCATTTGGCATAAAATTTACTTGACATAAATTTCATTTGGTATAAATCCCATTTAACATAATTTTCATTTGACATAAAGTTCATTTGACATAAAAGAAATTTAACACAATTCTCATTTGTCATAAAAGTCATTCAACAAAATTCTCATTTGACATAAAAATCATTTTACACAAATTACATTTTACATAACAATATCGGCGCGAATTTTAAAAGTAACCAATTATATATTATCAACAACATTGTGATTCGCCAATTTTGAAATTCGCGCCTATATTTCCATGTCAAATGATCTGTATGTAAAATAAAATCTATGACGAATGAATTTTATGTCAAATGAGAATTATGTGTAATGAGTTATCCTTCAAATGAAATTGATATCAAGTGAACTTTATGTCAAATGAAAATTATGTTAAATGGGATTTATACCAAATGAAATTTATGTCAAGTAAATTTTATGCCAAATGAGAATTATGTTAAATGGAATTCATGGTAAATGAATAAATTATGTTAAATGATATTCACGTCAAATGAAATTTATGTCAAGCTAATTTTATGTCTAATGATATTTATGTCAAATGAGAATTACGTTAAATGACATTTATGCCAAATGAAATTGAAGTCAAATGAATTTTATAACAAATAAAATTTACGTTAAATGAATTTTATGTCAAAAGAAATTTATGTTAAATGATTTTTATGTCAATAGAAATTTATGTATTACATAATTTTTATGTCAAATGCGAATTAAGTTACCTGAGTTTTATGTAACATAATATTTCTGTGTAATGAATTCTATGACAAATGATATTTATGTTAAATCGTTTTTGTGAACAATGAAATTTATGTCGAATAATGTGCATATTATGTGAATTTTAAGTTAAGTAGTTTTATATCAAATACATACTTGGTCAAAAAAGATTTCGGGAATAAGTATGCGTCTCACTAATTCAATAGAACAATTTGCTAATTTCTAGTATAAACCTACTCAATTAACACTAGAAACTTAGTAATTTTATAGAAGAAAACCAATTATACGTATGCAAAGAGTTACATTTAATTAG